CGCTAGTAGTAACAGGTGCCTTACTAGTAGTAACAAGAAGCTAGTAGCAGCCAGGATGCACTCTATGATGCCTTGCCTTGCCTGTCTGACAGGCCGATTGACACATGCCAACGACAAGAAGCAAAGGCGAAAGTTCATCCCCAACAGAACCGCCTTTGACCCACCGCTCTCCCTCTTCCAGTGCCAGTCTCAGTACACTATGCCTAAATCCATCCCCGCGTGATCCCGCGTGCCAAAATGTCCAAACTTGTCCAAATGACCTGCGCTTTGGTTGACCATATCATTCCCATCCAAGTTACCTCTAAAAGACGCACAAGGAGTGCCCCTCACTCATCAAAAAGCCCGCGTCGGGCACATCTCGCAACCTTTTGCATGTAAAAAAGCATGCCCCTCCTCGGAAACTTGGAAGACCAGCCCACTCGAAAACCCACCCGGATGGTTTTCTCTTTTCTCAGGTGATTTATCTGAGTGCGCGGTCGCAGACGGAACACCTTCGCGAGCTGATTCCACATGTCTTTTTGGCTTTCGAGGCGGGCTTCCCGGTTCGTCTCGAGAGCCAAACAAGACGTGTTTCGTTTGGGTGGATGGTGTAGATCTGGGTTGGACGTTCGGTTATGCCGATGCGGGAGCTTGGTATCCAAATCCAGCTACCCCATGGGAAGGTAGCTGAATCGCAATGAATGGTGCCAGGTGAATTAGAACATAAATTCTTGTTCGACTATCCCCAAAAGATCCCAAAAGTCTGTGGGTATCTCCAACAATTGTAGATTAACTCAACCCATGAGAGTAAGCAAATTAGGCTTCGGAGCTCATTTCTATATTAAAACCTGCAGCAATTTAACACCCGAGAACTTGAGACTCCAGCTCACGATGAGGGTTGTGGTTGAAACGGTGGCAAACGAACGGGTTGGAATCGCAGCGTCCACGACCGTTGCGGTGACATGCGGTGACGACCAGGCAGGATTTCTCATTGGAGCCAACGGGAATTTGTCTTACATAGATACAACCGTCCTCAAGTAGATAGAATATGAACCAATATGAACCAATCTTCAAAACATGAACAGGTTCCTGGATCGGTTTAAGAGATTGTGATTTTTGTTTCAGAATCCAACGTCCGTCGATTGATATTGATGGGCATAAGGTTGCAGCATTCAAAAACAAACACCTGAAGGTTTTGCACTTGAAAAAGTCGATGTTTGTTTGATTTGGAATTTGTGATTCCTATGTTCCGAGTAGTCAAAACTGTCAGTTTCAAGTCTTTACAGCCCTGCCTTTGGGGATACTGAAGATCGCCCGTAAAAGTAGTTGACATGCTGGGAGTCAAAGTATTCTCTGCCTGTTGCTACTGCTAAGCGCATGCACCTTGTTCAGTGCGGGTACCAGGATCCGGGATGTGTTTGACGTCGAGAAGCCGCTGAAGATCTTAGCGGGAGGTTTGGTCATGTCAGGTCCATTGGTCGCCTAAGAATAAGTAATATTCAATTGATTTCAATTGTGTCAAACTCTCTGTCCCCATGTACAAGATCCATGTATATAAGATCATTCAAAGCCACCACCATGGGGGTCAGCTTAGCTCACCTTATCAATCTTTGTTCATGTTTCCTTGTTGACCAATCGAGCTTGTGCCCTTCTTGGAATCAACACGAAAGCCGATTCGCCGTTCGCCACCAAAACCACCAACACGAGGCAGCTTCACGGCTGGCTCAAGAAGATGGTCAAGCAATCCTGGTGGCTGACATGATTCAGTGCCCCGATCAAAAACCCTCCCACCCTTTGCGCTGGAAAAAACAGCGGCGGAATGAGGTCGGAGGTGGCCAGACGTCGGAGGTTTGGCATTTCGAAGAGGTCCAAACAACCTCCAAAAGGTGTTGTTTTGGAAAGACAGCCGTTCAGTTCATACCGTTCATACCCCCCAGGTTTTAAGAAGACCCTCCTAAATGATTAAGGTTTGTTGAGATGTGTGTATATATATAGTTAATTATAGTTATATACATAATTTAATAATGGGTTATGTTTGCTTAGCATACAAATGTGAACAGGATAAGCGGGTAAACAAAATGACGGATGACTGGGAAACGCTAGTAGGCCCTGCTCAGAATCCGCTGAGTAGAAACAACCCATGCATGACCTAGTTGATCGGTTTTCAACAAACACTGACGATGTATAGAAGGGAGGGATACCTAAGGACGCTATTGGGTGGAGGCCATCACAAATAGGTTGGAGGCAATCGCTACTAGTAACAAGAAGCTACTAGGAACAAAGGGATACCTGAGAGGATACGAATCCGAGGAGCATCAAGGGCATAACTGGATGAGGCCAAATCACGAGTGCTGCGTGATAGCGAACCACGCAACCTGCACGCGATGTTACATGCCGTGCCAGACCGCTTAGCTCACAGTGAACCCTAAAAAAGATCCGCCAATAGCCAGCACCACCTGAACATCGGGTGGTGTCTTAGACGCTGAACGCATCCAATGACCACACCCGAACAGGCCTTTGGGTGGTGCTGGTGATTGACCTTGTTGGTACAGGATCTCTCACTCTGACAGTCCAACAACACACCGTTCAATGATGGAACCAAACCCAGTGTATGCATGACATGTTTATACAAGTGTATGCAGGGCCCCGTTCGTGCTGCGGAACCGCATGCAATCGCATGGTTTGGTGGTCGAACCGTTGGAACTCCATTATCAATTTCGGCTACATGTCGGCTATGCAAGTCTTTGCAATTGCTGACAGGAATGAATCATAATGAAACTGTGAGGTGCTTGTCAAGCCACTAGTCACTAGATTGACCAAAAAAACATCGTGGAATGCTTCTAAATCGTCCCGGTGCCCTCCGCGCCACCGCCGCCCTCAGGATGCAGCCATCGCTCAACATGGACCCCTTCGCCTTTAAAGATCTCGCGAACAACTTCGGTGTGGCACCTCGACGTGGTTTCGCCCAGTCACCCAGTCCCAAGATCCAATCCATGTGAAGGTCTTTCGTTTGGACGATTCCCAAGAGGTCAACGGTCAACCCAACCGGTCTAGGGACCCCTCGACCGGACGACTGCGACATGTGACGAGACCGGTGGTTAGTGGTGAAGGTTCTTCAGAATGCCTCACTCCTTCACAAAATGAACTGATACAAAAAGGGTCTCCTCCCAGGCTTCTGGATCTATAATGCTGTTGTTGTTGTTGTTGTTGCAAAAGCGGGATTCTGGATTATATAGCTAGCGCTATAGTTCTATCCCTAGGGATCCAAGTACCTTCTCAGAAGGTGACGGGAGGCACTGTTATGTAGGTTTGGAGGGTCAGAGTACCTTCTGAGAAGGTACTTGGATCTCTAGGGTATATATATATATATATCCCCTAAGTACTAATTATATACTATATAATACTTGAAACAAAATGGGTAGCCCGTCCACAATTGCCTCAGACCGATACCTCATGCCATGCAGAACTGGACAAGCGCCTCCAGGTCGGATGAAGCATGTGAAGAAGCAATTCTTGTTCACTTGAGAGCTCTTCCTCCAACAGTTGGGTTGACTTTTGGATGTAGGGGTACAACCCCACAACTCTGCTGACAGCTGGGGCGGAAAAGTTGGTATCGCCCCCCCCCCGCCCAGAAAAGACTGGTTCCGATTCTTTTGAGGGATTAGTTTTGGAAAAGTGCATCCAGAGGTAGCGATGCCCTTGTTACTAGTAGCTTCTTGCTAATAGTAGTAATGCCCTTGTTACTAGTAGCGATGCCCTATTGTTACTAGTGGAGTATAGATAGAAGAACACAAAAAAACCACTAGGAAACTGGACATATGTTCGGCTTGGTCATCACATATTCAATCTACTGCAGGATTCAATCTACTCTAGGATATTCAGTTGACAACCCAAAAAAGATCTTTCAATCTAAAGGATTTCAGCCAATATGTGTTAAAAGATTTCAGTAGCCAATATCTATTGATATCTATTGATATTCAGTTAAAAGAGTTCACCAGTGTCGTTCATCACCCAATCTCAACCGGCGGCCGACCGGATTCGTCCACACTTGTCCACGTTGGTTTCCATCGACCCACTCCGCCTATTCAGGGACGAGGGATGGGGTACCTGAGGATGGTGAGTGAGAAGGATGCCCTGAACTAAATGCGCAAAAGGTTGGTCCAAAAGGTTGGCCCTGAAGAATCTTCACGAAATGAAACAGCGCATGTGCGGAAGACCCAGCGCCTTTCTTTCGGTGCCAAGGGAAGTGGCTTCTCTGGACCCGGCGCGAGGAGTTAGCACTTTGATTCATGAACCCGAGTCTGGACCAACTCATCTTCTGTTTCAAGGTGAAACCATTCCAGTCCTGCAATGCCTGTCATGCATGCGTGTGAGATCATAAGTGATTCATTTCTCGATGCCATGAACGCAGAACAGTTCACTCAGGTCTGCGAGAACCTCCAGAACGCTCCAGATCCTTCCCCAACCGGTTCTTTCTTCCCTTTTTTTTGTCCAAGGCCGTCGACGCAGACCATGTGAGCTCGACAGTCGATGTTTTCGCTCAGGTCTTTGCAGACCGGTTGAAGTGCATTCTCATCGTTGACTTTTCCTTCATCGCACAGGACTGGGAAAACCGTGGGCTTCGCTTCGCCCTCGCTTCACGCATTGGCGTGAAGAAACTCCGTCGGACAGTTGCACCAGGTTGCCATCAGGTGGCCAGAATTGCAGCCAGTCGATGCACCATGCCAGTCGAGCAACCCTGTGGATGGCTGGTCTTCGGGTTCATGGAAGTCCATCTTGTCGGGCGATTGGACGAAAGTGCAAAGACAACGCGTTTTCGGTCAGTATGTCGATCAAGATCTGTGCAGTAGTGCACGGATGATGATGATGATGATGATGATGATGACGACGAACATGATGACGACGATTATCATTATTATTAGTGTTATTCGTTGTTGATGATGGTGATGGTGATCGGTCACCATTCCCAAGAGCAGTTGCCAGGTTTGCGCCAATTCTGATTCCCTGCGCTTTCCCACGAGTCGTCCCGTGCCATGGGTGGAAATCCTTCGCCTGGCCGTGAGACCTCAGGCGGTTTGGTCAACCTTGAGACCCTTCCTGAGCGAGCCTCCTGGCAAAGTGTAACCAGGGCGACCTGTCATGTCGGACATGTTTTTTCATTTAAAGGACTTGTTTGATGAACAAGAGTCCCTAAGCTTGGGATGTTGTGCTATGCTTTATTTGCATTTATTGTAGTTGCTATGTGTCATTGGATTCATGATTCATTGTGGACTAAGGACCTAATGGCCAAGCCGGCACCAAAGGTAAAATCGTAGAACATCATGTGTGGCAGTTCATGGTAGTTATATGTTGCCTTTCACATTGTTGGATATCATCATGTTGCAGACCCATGACATTTCATGACAACATAGCTCTGGCATGCTTTGGCTCAACAAAACAACACACTCTTAAAGGATCCAGGGTCAACAAAGGGGCCAAAATTGTATTCTTGCAACGAACCCCCTTGTCGAGCATGGTCGTTGCCATCCCTCTCTTTAAAGACTGTTGACTGTTAGATGGGCTCCGCGGCTCCTTAGAACCATCCTGGCGAGAGGGCATTCTTCAACAGATCCCCTTTAGTTTGTGTGTTTTTCCCTCTTAGGGGTTGAGACCCCAGGATCCCCCGCGTGTCATCACCAGCTTCCAGGGCGTCGTTGGTCCCCCCAGGCGGACGCAGAAGAAGATTAACTTTGTCAACGAGGTGGATACATGTGGTGGAACTGGGCCCAGTAGGCCCACCTTGAGCCGCCAAGGTTGTCCAATATGATATATATATATATACCTACTGAGTCTGTCGTCAACTTTTTTTTGGGTGGAAATCGCAATACCTGGTTTTATGTATAATCAATGAAAAAACCAGGTTTTTGGTTTCCGTCAGGTTTTTCATGAACATTGAGTCCTTGGCTGAGATATGTGTTGTTGCTCGAGGGTTCCATGCAGGACGGAATGACATCGTGTAAACATGTTTTAGATCGAGAAGAACCAACATGACAACAAATATGGAACAGGTGGCACTTGACCATGATCGATGTAGAACCATGGGTTCATTCTTGGTGTGGTTGTTCCACCAAACCTTCCGTACGCGTCATGTCATCGATGTGTCACCGATCGCGACCGCATGTCTATGTCGTGGACGAGTTCGTCACCTTTGGAACCACTGCCAGGGCCCAAGGTCCGTTTTTCTTTTTCTCTCCAGCGGTCGGAGTTGGGTGCAGCTGTGGAGAGTTCCTTGGGTGGACGGGCATGCCCTGAAACCCTGGTTGGAATTTAGAATTGCTTGGATTGCTGCAGCCTGTTTCTGGATCAATAAGTTGTTGTATTGCACACTCACCCTTTGTGGTTTGCCCATGGACTGTAGAGGGCTAGCGGTGGCCTGGGAAGGGCTACTTCCCCTGAGGGAGAAGGTCAGGGGCTGTGGCAAGCTGATCACCCACCCATCTACACAGAAGTTCTGCGTTGCGAACAGGGCAAACTGCAAAGAAAACGCAGAGATCTTGAAGCCGATCTTGGGAAGAATGGCCGAACACCCGAAGAATGCTTTGCCCCACTTGGAACCTTTGCAGGCTGAGCTGCTTGCATTGGCCAACAAGTTGGGCCTCCCTGTGTCGGAAAAGGGGGTCTACCAACCGGCTGTGGAAATCAAACGGCTTGCTGGCTTTGTCAAGAGGCGAGTCAATCGGGGAGAGTGCACGAAGGAGCCGAGAGGTTCAATCTGTGCTTTTTGGGTGCTATGTGGTTTTGAGTTGGATTGGATCCAATTGTGCTAATCCTTTAGCTGATGAGGCAACAAGTGAATATGTTTTCAATTGTTGGCCATCTTTGGTCACGATCACCTCGTTTGTAGTCCCAATTGTGTTCAATTATCTCTTTGATTATCTGCTTCACCCTGCTAGGATGTTGCATTCCACGAGCTCTACCTCACTTTGGACCCAAATCAGGAGGACAAAGAGTTGTCTCATGCCTGTTCCCTTTCGCTCACTGGCTTCCAAATCCATCTTAAACACAACAGTAGAATTTGCAGTAGAATAAGCTATGTCCGACCCATGAATTTGTTGTGACTTTCTGGTACTGTCAAAGGATCACATCGAAGCCTATATGGCAACTCGTCGGGGTCAAGACTCTACTGCAGACCCTGATGATGCGGTGGAGGATCCGGAAGAGGATCCGGATGACCCAGTGGACATGGTTGCGTTCAACGCATGGTTGGACTCCAGAACGGCGGAGGTGAGCCCCAAGAGTTCTGAGGTGGACCCCTTGAGATCTAGTGAGCCCAAATCCTTGTCAGAAAGTATGTCCCCTCCATCTATTGTTCCGAAGCCTTCTGGTGATTCGACATCGCAAACCCAGAGCATCTCGAACCATCAGAATATGAACTTTGTAAGTTTTTGTTTTGATCCCATGAATCCATGGTTTCATGTTGACAGGTGTTTACCCTTCACTGCTCAGGCGAGCGGCTTGCACAAATCCGCGCTCTGATTGCTGAGAAGAAGCAGCAGCTTCAGCAGAAGGGAGAGCTTGAGAAGTCACGTCCTGAGGCCGTTTTTATAAGACTGCGTGCAAACTAACAATTATTGTAAGGGTAGATGGCAGCAACAAAACTAGACTCAGTCACCCCTCTAGGCTTTGAACCTATAAAGCCTCCACGTCACACCTACTGACCAAGGTCAGGGGGAACAACAGTTCCAGTGGATTCTTCGGGAGCAAAAGGCCCGGCCAGGCTTACAGGTGCAGGTATGTTTTGACCACATAGATTGATCCTGCAATATGATTTTCAAATTCGTGGATACTGAACACACACATATCCGAGAACTGATATTACCCTGTTGAAGCATACACCATGGCCCTTTGTGATGATTGTAGTGAAGTAACAAAGGATGACAGTAACCGCAACCTTCAAAAACTAACCATTAGTGCAAACCCGTCATGCACAGGAAGCACCGCTCTGCCAGCTCCTACATATACAGCTGCTTCCGATTGGGATGAGACCCAACCTATGTTCAAGGCGGATGGCATTGACAGCAGCCAGCCGGTTGGTGAGGAGAAGGAACCCACTGCCCCAATCGAACCACCTGCCCCAATTGAGGAGGCGTGTGGTTTCAAATTATTTGGAAAGGTGGTTTATCCTAACTTCATGTTCAATGGACGTTTGGTGTCCAAGAAGATTGAGGTTTAAAGATCGAAATTATATAGATATCTCAACGCAAGTTAAAACCAAAATTGGATGGTTGACCCTTTGTCCACCTGTTCCCTGGCCAGGTTCTCACTCGGCGGGATCAGCTGAGAATGAAAGAGAAGCTGGCAGATGAAAAGAAAATCAAAGCTGTGGAGAAGAAGCTCGATGGTGCGACTGAACATGATGATGATGAAGAAAAGGGGGGTGACGTTGCTGCCCCCAAAGCCAAGGCAAAAGGGAAGGCCAAGGCCAAAGTGGAAAAGAATGCTCAGGGGTCAAAGAAGCGTGCAAAGAATGATGATGATGAGGCACCTAGCACCCCGAAGAAGAAGCTCTTCCAGTCTGACGACGAGGATGGAAATCAGGACCTCAAAAGTGAGAGTCCGACTCTCTACCTCGACCCCATGACTGGAGAGGCAAAAACCTTGGACCAGATCTTGGAGGGCTATGTTCCCAAAAAGCATGAAAAGTCCAAGCCCCAACCTTCAAGGAAGAAGAATGCTCAAATTGAGGAAGAGATGGCAAAGGCCTCAAAGGAGGTCAAGGCCATGAAGCCGGATGCGAAAGTGATGCCAGAACAGGCCATGAAGTCCAGGTCCAAATTGAATGCGGCGCAGAAGCCCAAGGCCAAGGCAAAGGCAAAGGGAACAAACAAAAGAAAGGCGGCTAAGGAAGATGAGCCTGAAGCTATGGAGGTGGAAGTGGAAGACTCAGATGATGAACATCCGCTTGAGGATGAGGAATTGTGTGAAAGTGAGAAGGTTGATGATGAAGAGTTGGAGGGTGGAAGGACCGCAAAGCCGAAGGCCCGGGCCAAGGCAAAGGCAAAGGCCCGGGCCAAGGCAAAGGCGAAGGCTAAGGCAAAGGCCCGGGGCAAAGCCAAGGCCAAGCCAGCCAACAAGCGTATCCAGGAATCGCCTTCTGTCAAGAAGGAAAAGAAAAGGAGAAAGGAAAAGAATGATGCTATGATGGAATTGCAGCCGGCTGACATGGAGGACACTATGATGCAAGCCATCTTCATGACCCACCTCAAGAGGACCGAGAACCTTCATGAGGAAGAGACTAAGGACTACCTCAAATGCAAGGTCGGGGACAACTTTGACATGGTGGCCTTTTCCAACTACTGGAAGGACAAGGCAGTGGGAGTGGTTAAAAAGGCAGACAGGTCTCACCTCACATACTTTGGGTTTGGTAAGAGTTTGACATGGACCAATGGCATCACGCTGGCCTTTGTGAGCGCAAACCTTTTTGTGGCTGGCCTGTCTGGTTGGACACTTTTTGCTTTGGTTATGGTTATATTTCATTTGTTTGAACTCCACAACTTCTACTAGTCGAATGGTATGGATACACTGGACTGGATGAAGCCTTATGATTATCACGCACCATGCATCCTATGAACCTGTGTTTGAGTCAGTTTCATTTGAGGCATCCTATCTGGAAAAAGAACACGGCAACATTCCGGCTGACTTCAAGGATCCTACTTCAAATGTCCAACGGCAGGTTGCTATCATCAAGTACAACGCCGGTCAAGCGATGAGAAAAACACAAATGTGATAGTAGGCACTGACTCATGGTGTGTGCAAAGGATATGGTCTGATGTTGGAAGGCAATAAACATATTAATGAAACACAATGACTGTTTTATAACTTGAATGTAGTTATTGTTCCATCCTTCCACGACGGCCATGTTTTGATTTTGGAAGTCACTGACCTGTGACATATGTGCTTTTGTGCGGCCAAGTGGCCAATGAGATCGCAGCCCTGAAGATGCCTCCTTAGGCATTGGGGTCACTGGGTGTATATGCAGGCAGGCGCCAGGGGCTGTTACACATGGACCTTGAACATTCCAGGCCTTGAGGTAACCCTTCAATGTCCATCGACCTTGCAAACCAATGTCCTAGAATCATGTGTAAGTTGATTTGTTAGATCACTTCATTAATGTGTTTGCCTGCATATGGGGCCGACCATTGCCCAAAGAGTGGTCACTGATCCCAACTGACTGGCGGCTTGGAAGGGTGCGTGGGGAGGACCTCACGTGAGCGGTGGTGATTCGCAAGCTCAAGTCAATGAAAACGTGCTGTCTAGGTGACTGGTGGGTGGACTGTTCTCTAGTGCTGTTGATTTCGGTAGGGTGATTCGGGTGGAAATCAAAAAACTTTCATGTTGAGTGTTTAGTCAACTGTGCAGACCCTCTGCGTATGATCGAATTTTGGCCATACCCTGCCCCTTCCCCGTCAAGCTCCTTGCTCTGGCATCGGCGATCCGAGGCCAAATGCCACCTCCTGGGCTTCGAGGCAACAAATGGGCTTTGAAGCGGGGTCTTCTTGCTGATGAAGTGAGTACCCCTTACATGATTGAACTCTTACTGGATCAATACTATTTTACTTGATGGTTTGGAACAAACTTCAATTTGTGCACCTTTGTGGGTGCCACATGGAGCTCTTAGATCGATGTTTTTTCATGTTTATGGACGAATTACTGTGTCTGCATTTGTTTGATGCGCAGTCTGGATGAGTTGATTGATTTTAT